CCCCCCCCCCCCCGGCTCTGCGGCCGGGACCTGGCCCTCACCTCGGGATTCCCAATGTGCCTCCGGACAGACATATTTGCTCCAACCGACCACGCTCTGGGTTCTAGCCTCCCGATTGCCGCTAATCCTAGCTTCCTATAACCCCTCAACCTCTCTCTGCCGCCTCCCTCTAACCTCTTCTCCGATTGGCCTATCCTCCCCGGGCAGCCAATGGAGGCCTCGCTTATTGTCTCATCGCAGGGTCAAGAGAGCAAGGAGCCGCTCAATGGTTGCCAAGGGCAACGCGGACGCCAACTAGCTAGGCCTTTTGTGCCTGGAGCCTGGGCTCATCCGCTTCAGCCTCAGGGCGGGAAGAGGGGCGCGGGGGTGGGTTGAGGGCGGGGAGCTGGCGCTTGCGCACAGCCCCCGCTGGGGGAGGGGGCTGGAGAGCGGGAACCAAACGAGCGCGTTAGCTAATGTTGGAGCGTAAATACTGCCCCGGATGCCCTATAACCTCTGACCCCACCTCCTCTTTCATGACCATTTTAACGGAACATTTAGGTTGCTTCTTTCACAATAGGGAATGTGGGCCAGGGGTGTTCAGCAGGAGTGGGAGTAGATAGTTTAGTAGATAGTTGATTATTTTCACGTTAAGTTAATATGCAAATTATGCAAAATGTCAAGCGTAAATACAGTAATTACTGTTGCTTTAAAGCTTTTAAGCTAGGTAAAAAAAACATGAGCCTTAATTGCAAAGTACACACGTCATTCTGGGGTTCATCATTCATTTAACAAGTATTTAATAAGCACCTTATGAGGAAAGCTGCAGTAGGTTTTATGCAGGATGGGAGGATGACTAAGACCCACTCCCGTCGTCATGGAAACCATTGTGACTCCTGCCACCAGCCACCACCTGTTCTCATTCGCGATCTGAAAATTAAGTCCTAGCACCTTTACAAAACAATTACACACACACAGTTTGACTTGGCTCCTAAATGTCCCACCAAATCCATCAAAATTATTATTTCCTTTTGCACGTAAGGAACAACACAGTAACCCTTTGTCCTTTGCTCTAAGTTGTTTTTCCAGGAATACGGAATGGAGAAAGGTTACCCTGAGCTGTTCATATTGGTTGGCTCTGTTGTGAATGATAGAACACATCTGAGCTACTTCAGGGTGGTGCAGATGACCCATTCAACAACGTGGCTTCACCTTCCTTTGTCCTCTCAAACACTTTAACAGCCCATCTTTAGGGCTACACCTTGAATCATTATCACTTAAAGCTGCTTGACCTCCAGGTTTTCAAACTGGCCACAGCTGCCGCCTGCATTTCATTGATTCCTTCATGCTCACTAAGTTTTAATTTCTCTAGTGTTCTCCAGTCTTTTCACCCCTCTAAAATTTCCATTCTAACCCTCCACTAAGGAAAAGTTTAAGGCTGCAAAAAATTGGAAGGGGGAAGTAAGAAGGATATTAATTCATCTAAAAGCTTTTGCATAACAGAAGCTTCTAGACACATTACTATAGACCTGGTGCAGTTTAGGGGCGGGGGTGACAGTAGGAGAGAGAGGGAGATAATAAAGGATTAAACTAACAGGTGGTGAGAAAGAGAGGAAAGGAGAGATTTAAAGTAATTTGTAAGTAAAATTAATAGTCATATACATAAGAAGAGATAAGGAAGGCAAGGAATAGGAAGGCAGAAAGGCTATAATTTTTCTAATTTGGGAAACTAAGAAGATGGATAATAATGCATTAATCAAGCTAAAGAACAATGGTCAAGGCTGGGCGCAGTGGCTCACATCTGTAATCCTAGCACTCTGGGAGGCCCAGGCAGAAGGATTGTTTGAGCTCAAGCTTTCAAGATCAGCCTGAGCAAGAGTGAGATCCTCCCCATCTCTACTGAAAATAGAAAAATGAGCTAGGTACTGTGGTTGGTAATGGTCGTCCTAGCTACTTGGGGAGGCTGAGGCAAGGCTTGAGCCCAGGAATTGGAGGTTGCTGTGAGCCAGGGCACTCTAGCCTGGAGCAACAGACTCTGTCTTGGGGGGGAAAAAAAGACAACCAAAAAACAATGTTTAAGAAGTCAAAAGAACAGAAAGTAAAATATGACCCAACAGGGCATGCAGCTTTCATTCCTCCTTTTTTTTTTTTTTTTTTTGAGACAGAGTCTCAAGCTGTTGTCCTGGGTAGAGTGCTGTGGCGTTAGCTCACAACTTCCAACTCTTGGACTCAAGTGATCCTCTTGCCTCAGTTTTTCTACTTTTAGTAGAGATGCAGCCTCAGTTTTGCTCAGTCTGGTCTTGAACTCGTGAGCTCAAGCAATCTACCTGTCTTGGCCTCCCAGAGTGCTAGGATTAAGTCACAGCACCCATCTTCATTCACATTTTAAATCACTTCGTTGTAACATTGTCTCTCTTTTGTTCCAGAGGGTATAGGAACATCAGAATATCAGGTTTATTTGTCTCAGTAGTGTAAGGGCCAGACCAGCGCCATTTTGTTGTCTACTGCATAAGCTCTGTTAAAACTGCAGGGCCACTCCCTACTGCCTCCCCCACACCTGCTTGCATAGCCAGTGATTGAGACACCTTAGACAGACAGCTGCCATAATAGGCAATAAGTATCAGTTCCCTTGAACTGCTCCCATAATAGGCAATAGGTATTTACTTCCTTGAAATTTAGGCATTCTTCTTCCTGATTAGGCTACACCACCTCTAGCCCTGGTTAAGAAATCCCCTACCCTTCACCTGTACCAATCCAAATCCTCCTTTACTAGTGAAATCACCAACCACCAATCAAGAGTGTACCCGTAACGGACCCTACCCTTCTTGCTTTCTATACCCCATAAAAACTTGCTCTACCCCGAGTTCGGGGCTCGTCCTCGGCTTGCATGCCAGGAGAGTCCAGGCTTCCCGGGGCCTGAATAAAATTCACCTTTTGCCTTTTACATCGGAGCGCGTCTCGGAATCGTCTGTTTGGGCTGTTTGGGAGAATAATTTTCGGACCTAACAGTAGACAAGTGTTTGTCAAAGTTGTGCTGTTTATAAAGCATATGGAGAGATTACAGAAATGTGTAATGTGTCAAAGATTCTGACTGTGTGTTAGGGTTTGTTTGTTTATTTATTTATTTATTTTTTTGAGACACAGTTTCACTTTGTCACCCTCGATAGAGTGCTGTGGCGTCACTGCTCAGAGCAGCTCAAACTCTTGGGCTTAAGCAGTTTTCTTGCCTCAGCCTGGGACTACAGGCTCCTGCCACAACACCCAGCTATTTTTAGAGAAGAGGTCTCACTCTGGCTCTGGCTGGTCTCAAACCTGTGACCTCAGGCAAACCACCTGCCTGGGCCTCTCAGAATGCTGGGATTATAGGCAAGAGCCACCACAACCTACCAGGGTTGGTTAATTTAAATACACATTTCCTTCTCCCCACCCCCCCCTTGATTCTGAAGCAGAGGATTTTAAGGCCACACTTTGAGAGACCTGCTCTAAAAAAACCACCCATTTCCTTCACATTTTTGCCTCAATGGAATCTTTGGAAAGCTGAAAGCTATAAACCAAAAGGCTTGTGACATCTTGAGTTTCTCTTTAAGATTCCTTTTGGGTCCTACTATGACAAAACTAGATCAAAATTAAGGCAAAGTGCATACCTTGAAAACATAGGTAAATGGTACAAATGTCAATCCATAGAAGAAAAACGTTCAATAAACATATAGTATCCAACTAATAATCAAAGAAATCCAAAACAGCTAGATCCCATTGTTCAACTAACAAATGGACAAATGTTTTTGCTTTCTCTCTCTCTCTCTTTTTTTTTTTAGTGATAATCGTCAGTGTTGGCTAACATTTCATGAAAGAAGCATGTTCAGATATTGTTAGTGTGAATGTAGTGTGACCGTTTTGAAAAGTAATTTGAGAGTGGGTATTTCCTTTCAAGGAAATAAAAAGATGTAAAAAGATTGTATCCATAGATGTTTACTACAATTAGATTTAAAATTATGAAAAATTGGAACAACCTAATCAATCATCAAATAAAAAAGGATTAAAATAAATGATGGCATGGCCATAATCTTATAGAACTGTTAAAAGGAATGTTTCAAGGATTAAATAAGCCAGTGGAAACTGTTTCTTACATAGTAAACGAAAAGAACAAGAAAACCCCAAATTTTATTTAATATAATTCTGATTTGCACAGAGAAAAATGTAGGTATCCACAGAACAAAATTGAAAAAAAGAATTTCAAATGTAAACCACCTCTAGAATATGAAACATGGATATTTGTTTTATTCTTTATGCTTTTGTGTGTTTCCTGGATTTTCTTCGTTGACTATAAATTAATTTTATACTTTAAAAATCACATTCTTCCCTTACCAAACAAAAAAACCTGATGTTGACTTCAGCCTGAAAACTGTCCATGGCTTTTGTCTGGGCTGATTTCGACTGGAGCTGAATTCTGAGTAATTCTTCTAGCTGAAGTGCTGCAGTTCTTGGCAGTAAAAGACTCTCCAAGCACTTGAGTAAGAGTCTTGCAATCAGAGTCGTGATTGCTAAGAGGTTCAAGCTTTGTTTGGAAGAGAAGAAGTTCTGATTCTTTTCTTTAAAAGTTCCTACTTCCACTGATTAATCTCATTTTTCTCGAAGTTAGAAGGGCTCTTGTGAACTTCCATTTGTTTGATGTCTTCTTTTTAACCCTGTGTGTTTCCAAAAAGCTCTTAGTCCCGGCAGACTAAGAGACTAGTCTGCCAAGACTAAGAGCTTTGGAAGAGTTGGTGGGAGCCCCAGGTAGGTAAGTGGGGCTGGTTCAAGGCTGTTTTGTACTTTAAGTGTCCATGCCCCTTCCTCTGGAACAAAATGGGCATTTTGGTGTCTAGCAGGCTGGCCCTCTTCTCTCCCCGGCCTGAAACCTCTGGACCCTCCTTCATCTTGAATCCCTCTCCTCCTCCAGCCTCACACTCCCCAGTTAGCTCTCCATCCACCCACCCCCAGGTCTCAAGCCTAGTTTCCTGCCTAGAGCCCTTCCCTCAGATCCAGCCCAGGATGTTACTTCTCAGATATGGACCTTGGCTCCTCCGCCTTGCTTTATTCACCTTCATTCCCTAAATGACTTGCTTAGGGAAACAATTCTGCCTCCATCCAGTCAGTCCTAGAGTTCTTCCCTCGGCTTCAGAAATGGAATTTTACCTGAGGCAGTGAACCTACAGATTCACAGGCCCCAGCCTCTGATGAAGTACCTGCAATTGTAGGGGCAATTTGATGTCATTCTCC